TCTAGTCAAATATTGTTTTCTGGTTGCATGAATATCTCAACAAAATTGTTTTTCCAGTAAGTAATTCTAAGCATGTTAAATGCTACGTGGGTTAAGGGAAAGATTTAAGAAATCTCCACTACCTTGATTATAGTCACATTCTCCACTATTAGTTAGTGGGTGTTGACTAGCAAAAGGTTGAGGTACGTGGAGGTTAAGGAATAAATCTCCCTATATAAACCACGTACATATACATTGCAACACACAACTCTTGAGCATTAAAATTCCAGTAGTAATCTAATAACATAAAGAGAGTTCTTGTCCTTTATATATTCTTGAGTGTAATAGGTATTTGTAATTACAAATTGTAATCAAGTACTTTGGGGTTTGGGATTGTGAGTTTTTGTAAAGGTGAGGTTAAGGAAGCTTTGAAGTTGAAGTCTTCTGTGAGAGTTGGGAACAAGTTCCTAATTTGTGGAACTTGTTAAAGGGTTTGAATCTTCAGTTGTAAAGAGTTTGATTACATAGTGGAAATTTGGAAAAGCCTATATCTTCTCCCGTCATTGTTCTATTTAGTTAAATTCCGCAAAAAGTTTTTAGACTTCACCTCAAATACAATTCACCCCCCCTCTTGTATTAGCCATTTAGACTTTTCAGTTGGTATTAGAGCAGGAACTCAGAAAACGCAGGCAACCCTGTTGAGCAAGTTCCTGGGAGAATGGCTTACACAGAGGAAAAGGAATTCGGGAGTACATCCATTCAAAGGCCTCCATACTTCAACGGAAAATACTACTCTTATTGGAAGGATAAGATGGAAATCTTTGTCCAAGAAGAGAACTATCAGGTTTGGCGAATTATACAAGTAGGAGATTACGAAATTACAAAAACCAATGCTAACAATGAGGTAATTCCTAAACCTATGGATGAATATGAGAAAACTGATTTCGAAAAACTAGAATTAAATGCTACTGCTAAAAAGTTTTTAATTTGGGGACTTGGACCCGATGAACATACTCGTGTCAAAGGGTGCAAGTCCGTAAAGGAAATTTGGGATCTTCTGGAAGTTACACATGAAGGAACGTCAGATGTTAAACGTTCCAAAATAGATATTCTTTTATCTTAGTATGAGCGCTTTGAAATGGGAAACAAAGAATCTATTAAAGACATGTTTACTCGATTTAAGAATATTACTAACGAACTAACGTGTCTTGGTAAGATAATTCCTATAGATGAGCAGGTCAGAAAGGTCTTAAGAAGTCTTTTAGAAAATGACAAATGGAGAGCAAAGGTTGCGGCTATGCAGGAATCAAAAGACTTCACCAAGTTCAATCTAGAACAGCTTCCGGGTTCCCTTATTACCCACGAGATCCAGTTGAACAACCGGACTCAGGAGACTGTCAAAAGTCAAGGGCTAGTACTAAATGCAAATGAAGAATCCGAAGAGAAGTCTGACATTGATGAAGAAGAAGCTGCAATGTTAGTGAGAAGGCTGAAAAAGTTCTACCGTAACAACAAGTTTTCAGACAAGAAGAAAGGATACAGTAAAAGAAATCAAGAGTCTAAAGCCAAGTCCTCTTGTCACAAATGTGGGAGCACCAACCACTTCTTCAAAGAGTGTCCATTATGGGAATCTGAGAAAGGCAAGGAAAAAGAAGCTGATCAAAACAGAAACTCTAAGCCTAACTTTTCAAAATCAAATTTCAGGAAAGCTATGATTCCACGTGGGGAGACTCAAGTTCCGAAGAAGAGGAACAGGAACACACTGATGATGAAGTAGCCAATCTCTGTCTAATGGAGAAGCATGATGATGAGGTAGTCATTCAACCTAGTTACTTGAAATCTCTCTCAAAGGATAAATTAATCTCTTTATTGCTAGAAACCTTAGATGAATATAAAGAAATATGTGGAAAACTAAGGCAAGCCGATAAGGCAACTGGAATTTGTAGAGATCATGTTAAGTATCTAAATAGCTCAAGAAATGATGTTCAAGGCAGATTTTTTGAATTGTTAGATAAGAATATCATGCTAAAAGAATCCCTTGAAAGAGTCAAAAGTGAAAATATCATGTTGAATGTTGAATTGACTCAATATAAAATGATGTGTACTAAAATTGATTCTTGCAGGTCTACTGAAGTTCCTTTAATCATGTTCAATACTGAGTTAGAACATGTTAAGAAAGAGTTAAAGGATACTAATGATAAAAATGAGAACTAGAAAAGGACTTAGAAATTGCAAGAAAAAGTAGAAGTACTGCAAGCATGGGTGTTCCTAAGTGGGTACAGGAAACTCAAACAAAAAGAACAGAAGGTCTAGGCTATGTCCATAAGAAGAAGTCCACTGGAAAGAAAAAGAAGTATGTGGACCTGCCTAGTGAGACTGTTTGTTCATTTTGTGGTAAAAGGGAACATCGCAGTGAAGAATGTACTAAGAAAGCATCTCAGTACAATAAAAATGTGAATTATGTTTGGCAGAAGAAATCTGATTTAAATGTGTCAACACAAGAACCCATGAATGAAAGGGTTCCTGCTACTAACCCTTAATTTCTTTTGCAGGTCGCAGTGAGGGGGAACAACCAGTGGTACCTCGATAGCGGTTGTTCTAAGAACATGACAGGAGATGAATCCATATTTCTCTCACTGACGGCCTATACAGGAGGAACTGTGACCTTTGGAGACAATAAGAAAGGCAACATTGTTGCGGTCGGCAAAGTAGGAAGGTCAAGTTCCCATGCAATTGACAATGTATTTTTAGTCGAGGGTTTGAAGCATAGTCTACTCAGTATTTCTCAATTTTGTGATAAAGGAAACTCTGTAAGTTTTTCTTCTGAAAAATGCTGAATCATCAACAATAACACTGGAAAAATCGTTTTGGAAGGAACTCGTAAAGGGAACACGTATACCGTGGACCTTAACAAAGTTCCAAAATATAATCTATCTTGTTTAAGTGTTATTGAGGATGATCCACTTCTATGGCATAAACGTTTTGGACATGCTAGTCTTTCACTGCTTGACAAATTAAGGTCAAAGGACTTGGTAATCGGACTACCTTCTATCAAGTTCCTAAATGACAGAATTTGTGAAGCCTGCATCAAAGGAAAGCATGTTCGATCATCGTTTAAATCAAAGAAAATGGTAAGCACCACAAAACCATTGGAACTCATTCATATGGATTTGTGTGGCCCCGTTAGAATTCAAAGTAGAAGTGGAAAAAGATATGTCTTAGTTCTTGTGGATGATTACTCTAGATTTACGTGGGTCATATTCTTACATAGTAAAGATGAAACTTTTGATATGTTTATGAATTTCTTGAAAAAGACACAAAAATCAATAGGTAATCAACTTATTCATATGAGAACTGACCATGGTACGGAATTCAAAAATTCCAAGTTTGATGAATTTTGCAGGGAACAGGGAATAAGTCACAATTTCTCAGCACCAAGAACACCACAACAAAATGGTGTGGTCGAGAGAAAGAACCGAACATTGGAAGATATGGCAACAACGATGCTAATAGCAAGTGGGCTTCCAAGGAACTTTTGAGCAGAAGCCGTCAACACAGCATGCTATATCATCAACCGGGCCATGCTTAGACCAATGTTGGACAAGACACCTTATGAATTGTTAAAAGGAAGAAAACCTAATATTGCTCATTTAAGAACCTTTGGATGCAAATGCTTTGTTCACAATAATGATAAAAGAAACCTTGGAAAATTCGATGAAAGAAGTGATGAAGCAGTCTTTTTAGGATATGCATCTAATAGTAAAGCTTATAGAGTTTACAATAAAAGAACTATGTGTGTAGAAGAAAGTATACATGTTATTTTTGATGAGACTAACAATTATGACTGTATACAGGAATATGAAGATGGAGATTTTGAAATTGGTCTCACTCGTTCAACAGACCAAGATGAAGAATTAATTCCCAGAAAGCAGCCTACTCGAGTTACTGAAAATGCTGAATAGGAACATGATGACGTTCCTAATAATACTGAAATTCCTATTAAAAATACAGAAGAAGCAGAAAACGCAGAAGGTGAAGTGAATGCAGAAGCAGAACACCATGAAGAAATGGAAGAAGGAGCAACACAAAATAACACTTTTATCCCAGCTCAATCATTCCAGCCAAAGCCATGGAAACATCAAAGGTCACACCCCCTGGATAAAATTATAAGTGACCTAAGCAAGGGAACTCAGACGAGATCCAAACTGAGAAACTTATGTGCATTCAACGCCTTCTTGTCAACACTGGAACCTCGAAATCACAAAGAAGCCTTGGAAGATGCTGACTGGATTGTTGCCATGCAAGAGGAACTTAATGAATTCGAAAGAAACAAAGTGTGGCATCTTGAACCCAAACCAACAAATCAAAAAGTTATTGGTCTCAAATGGGTGTACAAGAATAAGCTAGATGAACATGGCACAATTGTGAGGAACAAGGCAAGATTGGTTGTCAAAGGCTACAACCAATAGGAAGGTATCGATTTTGAGGAGACTTTTGCTCCTGTAGCTAGATTAGAAGCAATTCGTATTTTAATTGCATTTGCTGCATTTATGGGTTTTAAACTTTATCAAATGGACGTCAAATGTGCTTTTTTAAATGGTTTTTTAAAAGACGTCTATGTTGAACAACCACCTGGATTTGAGGATCCAAACTTTCCAAACCATGTTTTTAAACTTGATAAAGCACTGTATGGATTAAAACAAGCTCCAAGAGCATGGTATGAAAGACTTTCTAAGTTCCTTTTACATAATGATTTCAAAAGAGGAAAAGTTGATAAAACTTTGTTTTTAAAATCAAAAGGAACTCATTTATTAGTTGTGCAAATTTATGTTGATGATATTATTTTCGGTGCAACTAATGAATCTTTGTGCAAGTACTTTGCTGATTTAATGAGCAGTGAGTTTGAGATGAGCATGATGGGGGAACTCAACTTCTTCCTTGGGCTCCAAATTAAGCAAACTGACGAAGGAATAATGATTCATCAACAGAAATATGTAAGGGAATTATTGAAAAAATACAGTATGGAAAGCACAAAGATCAACCACACTCCCATGGGAACAACCACAAGGTTGGACCAAGACCCCAAGGGAACTCGTGTGGACCAAACAAAATACAGAGGTATGATTGGTTCCTTGTTATATTTAACTGCTAGTAAACCTGACATTTCTTTTAGTGTAGGTCTTTGTGCAAGATTTCAATCAGATCCAAAGGAATCGCATCTAACAGCCGTCAAAAGAATACTACGATACTTAAAAGGGACGGAAGATTTGTGTCTGTTTTATCCAAAAAGTGATTCGTTTGACCTAAGAGGATATGCTGATGCTGATTATGCAGGAGATTTAGTAAATCGTAAAAGCAACGTCAGGTATGGTCCAATTCTTAGGCTCTTGCATGGTTTCTTGGAGTTCCAAGAAACAAAACACTGTTGCTCTATCCACTACCGAAGCTAAAATATGTGGCGGCTGCTGCTGCATGTTGCTCTCAATTTCTTTGGATAAAACAACAGTTGCATGACTTTGGCATTGTTTTAGATTGCATTCCTATTCATTGTGATAATACAAGTGCCATTTGCATCTCTAAAGATCCAGTTCAACATTCTAAAGTCAAGCACATACATGTAAGGCATCACTTTTTGAAAGATAACGTTGAAAAGGGCTTAATTAGGCTAGATTTTATTTCTACTGAATGTCAAATTGTTGATATATTGACTAAGCCTTTAAGCAGAGACAAGTTTGAAAAGATGCGTGTAGAATTGGGGATGCTACGGCTCAAGTGATTTTTGTTTGGAACCCCTAAGGTAAAATCGAATGTAACTAACAATGCTATGCTCAATCTTGTGTGCATAACACAGCTGAAATTACCCAGGGGAAAGATTTGTGAAAGTATTGAAAAGTCAATCGTACATACTGTTAATATGTTAAAAATATTGAGCCATGTTGTTTCAAGTTCCCTTTTCATTATCCTCACATACTCTGTATTATGGTTACGTAAATTATCATCATAATTTACGGCTCATCTGTACATATCTATCATTTTTTTATTTTATTTATTTTAATTTGTTTTCTTTCTTGTTATTATCTTTTATTCCTTCCTTATTTTTATCCTAATTTCTCTAACCTTTTCTATTCCTCATATATTTCAAAAATACAAAAAGATTTTTTTGTTACGTAAGATAAGGAGCTAGTATATTCACTACTCCTTAATTTTTGAATTTTTCTTATCTTTTAAAGTTTATCTTTTATTTTGTTAAGCTAGAAAATTACAATTATGGTATTAAACCTTCCTCACCCTATTAAATCCTACTACCTCTAAAACTACCCTACTAACTCACCATATTAACCGTCACTTTTCCTCACACTTCCCTATTTTCACTCTTCCTCTTTCACACTCCACCCTCACCAATCACATCAAATTAACTTCCCCATAAACCCTCATAATAACCGGCCTCACTCTCTCTCCTTACTATTCACACTATTCATCTTCTCCTTCCCTTTTACACATCAACACAACCATAAAAACCAACATCAACACACAACACCGAAACCTCCAAAAACAACACGAATCCCTCCATCCAAACCTCCATCCATTGACGGCTCCCCTGAACCAGTCCCAATCGCCGTCGTTCACCCTCCTACTCCGTCAAAGAGGAAGGCTACAACCATGAAAGGAGGCGACAAGAAGAGGCGAAGCTCTCAAAAGTTTCCATCTTGGAACTACACTCACGGCTATCACATCAATTATGACTGGTGTACGTCAAGTAAGTTCTCATAATTCACCTCCTTAATTGATTATCAGGAATGGGTGCATTTATTCCAAAATTGTTCTCATTATCCCATTAATCCTAAGCTTCTGTTTGAGTTTAAAAACACTTTCAAACACAACAATGGTGTATGCACGGCTATAGTAAAAAATACTCATATTCAATTTGATGTTGCATATTTAGGGAATTTGTTTCAAGTCCCCACCTCTGGCTATAGTTCGTATTTAAAACATAAGCAAATTGTGCAAATTGGGCATTATGATGAGAATTGAATAATCAAGTTCATAGGTGGAAACCCGAAAAGTAAGACCTCACATCATAACATACTCTCTCCTCTTCACAAATTATTGTTCAACTTCACTTGGAGAGGTAATGTACCCCGTTTGCAAAAACGTAGCACAGTGTCTTTACTAGATGCAACAATCATATTTTGCCTTGCACGAAAAATAAAAATAAATTTTCCGAAATTGATGATTGAACATTTGCTCTTTTATGCTGCTAAAACGACTATTCCATATGGGTCTCTTCTTACTGTGTTGTTTAAGTCATTTGGGATTGATGTTGAAAGTGAGTCACCCACTTACATTAAACCTGAGAACATTCTTTCTGAACAATCCTTGCTTTGCCTGAGCCTTAAACTTGACAGTGGGACAATCTCTTTCTTGTCTAGAGGTGGAGAGGAGAAAAATAGAAGGAACGGAAAAACACAAGTTGTAGAGGTAGATACAATTGAGTCGGAAGAGGAGGGAAGTGAGTCAGAAAAAAAAGAGAGTAAAGAAAACAGTGAGGGAGACAAAGAAGAGGAAGAAATTTCTGAGGGGGAAGAACAGGAGGTAGAACCTGAGAAAGGAGAGGAGACTCAGAGTGAGGGGGAACCTAGTTCAGAGACTGAGAGTCTTGAAATTCCTTTTGTTCCTGTGTTTAAGGGGGAACTCAGAAGGAGTAAGAGAAAAATTGCCAAACCTACTGTTTCTTCTCCAAAGCCTGTGATTATTGAAGACATTAGTTCTTTCAGGCCACTCTGATCTTGACTTTACTCCTACTCAAGTCCCTTTTTCTTTTGAGCCTTCTTCTATTCATGATTCCCCTCCAAAACAAGCTGAACCTTATTCCATTCCTGTTTCACCTCCAAAACAGACTTCTCCTTCTCCTTCCCCAGCTTTTCCTCCATCACATCCTACAGGCTTTGCTGCCTTCTCTGGAACAAATGCTTCTATTTTTGATATTCTACAGGTGAAAGCAGATATGGAGAAGCTGACAAAGATGGTGAGCACATTGCTGGAGGAAATGGCGAAGCAGATGACTACTCTTCAACGCCAAGTGCAGGCTGTGGCTGACACTCAGGCAACTAGTATTACTGGGATGGAAAAAAGGGTTGATGCTGCTGAAAAGAACATCATGCAGAGCACTCAGGAGATCTTGGAGACGATCAACAGGGTGGCTTTTGAGGAAGTAGAGGAAGCTTCTAATGACCCCATAACCCCAGCTGATGAATCTACCTATTCACCATAATTGCAGTTTCAAACTTGTCATTTTTTATTTTCTTTTGGTTTTGTTTGTTTTCTCTGAACTTCGGTTTGTAAGCTTATGACTTTTGTTACATTCTCTTTGCTTCTTATTTCCCTTAATCGGAACTTGGCTCGTATTTTTCATATGATTGTGTGTGTCTGTTGATAATTTAATACCTAACTTATTTTTGCCTTGCATTATTTGAGCTCACTAATTCCCTACGTAGTCTAGTGGGAGTATAGAAAAATGTTATTCTACTCTTTTGATAATGCCAAAAGGGGGAAAAGACAAACTTCATGGCGGATAAGGTGTTACCAAGACACTCACACATCGAAGGTATAAATATTGTGCTAAGTTCAGTCTTTAATAAATTTATTTTGCACAGTTTAGTCTTTAAATTAAGTCTTTAGTTATTAGTTATTTTGCTTAGTTATTAAACAAATTCTTTAAGTAGTCTGTCTGTTTTTATTTCTATGTTTTCTATGTTCTATTGTTTTCATATGTTGCATGCTTGAAAATTTTTTTTATTTACCAAAGTTTGTCAGTGTTTGTCATCATCAAAAAGGGGGAATTTGTTGACCCTTTTGGTTTTGATGGACAAACTGACAAACTTGACTAATGAGCGTTTTAAGTCTTTGGTGATTAAAGGGTTCAAGCAAAGTTCGTTCCGGAGTAGGAACTTGATTCAAGGGATGCGAAGTAGCATTCTCTAAAAAGCCTCATGCAAATCTCACGTTCTAGTTTTTAATTGTAAGCACTCAATAATATAAGTTTGGAAAGGAACTCAATGACTTATGTTAAAGACTACTGGAATAAAAATTAGTTTTAAAAGATAATTTTTTATTTGAGGAAAAGATGATTTATAAATGTTTTATCTAGTTTACTGTTTTCGAATAAAGATAATTATTCTTAATAAATTATCTTAGTTGTTTTTAAATAATTAAATTAAGGAAAAATTGTGACAAAGGTCCTTTTAAAGTGACTCTCTTGTCACAAAGGTCCTTATAAAAAAAAGGTGGCACTAAAGGTCTTATAAGTGAGTTTGGTTGTGCAGAGGGGCCTTTGACCCAATTCCGGCCAAATTCCGGCATTGACTTTTGAATTCAGGCCAAAAAAAATCACATGCCGTTGCACGTGACTTCTTTTTAAATTTTTTTTCTTTTTTCTTTTTTCTCCTTTCCTTCTTCTTCCTCGTTTTCCCCTTTTTCAAGCATTTTCCCTTTTTTGAACCCTAAATTGCGAGCGTGGTTGCAATTTTAACCCAGAAATTGCAATTGAAGGCAAATTGAAGCAATTGAACGCAAGTTGAACAAGGTAAGGTGACAAACCCACTGCCAATTCAAGTTTAATTTTTCAAATTGAAATTTATCTTTCTTTATTCTTAATTGTAGTTATGCGCTTGAATGAAAAGATGCTGGCCTTGCTTTTCCCTTTTGACTTGCTTTTGCGTCCTGGGTTGTTCTTCACTATTTTTACAGAAAAAATTAGCTATTTTCGTTAAAAAAAATTGCAAGATCAAAAACCTTTGAAAGAGACTTACCGCAGACAACAGCAGAATTGTTTAATCTCCACCTCAATTGCACTTCGCCATTAATGGTTGCTTGCTTCCTGTCACCAATTAACTGTGGTGAATGAACAGGAATGGAACAAAGGTGAAAATTTGGTAAGTAGTAGAAGAACAGGGCTTGCTTCGAGGAAGAAGAAGGAAAGGAGAAAAAAAAAATTTAAAAAGAAGTCACGTGCAACGCACATGATTTTTTTTGGCCTGAATTCAAAAGTCAATGCCGGAATTTGGCCGGAATTGGGTCAAAGGCCCCTCTGCACAACCAAACTCACTTATAAGTGCCACCTTTTTTTTATAAGGACCTTTGTGATAAGAGAGTCACTTTAAAAGGACCTTTGTCACAATTTTTTCTTAAATAAATTATAAATTATCTTTTCAAAATAAAATCTTTTCTTTAAATTCTTTTAAAACAGAATATTTGATCTAGTCAAATATTGTTTTCTGGTTGCATGAGTATCTCAACAAAATTGTTTTTCCAGTAACTATTTTTAAGCATGTTGAATGCTACGTGGGTTAAGGGAGAGATTTAAGAAATCTCCACTACCTTGATTATAGTCACATTCTCCACTATTAGTTAGTGGGTGTTGACTGGCAAATGGTTGAGGTACGTGGAGGTTAAGGAATAAATCTCCCTATATAAACCACGTACATATACATTGCAACACACAACTCTTGAGCATTAAAATTCCAGTAGTAATCTAATAATATAAAGAGAGTTCTTGTCCTTTATATATTCTTGAGTGTAATAGGTATTTGTAATTACAAATTGTAATCAAGTATTTTGGGGTTTGGGATTGTGAGTTTTTGTAAAGGTGAGGTTAAGGAAGCTTCGAAGTTGAAGTCTTCTGTGAGAGTTGGGAACAAGTTCCTAATTTGTAGAACTTGTTAAAGGGTTTGAATCTTCACTTGTAAAGAGTTTGATTACATAGTGGAAATTTGGAAAAGCCTATATCTTCTCTCGTCATTGTTCTATTTAGTTAAATTCCGCAAAAAGTTTTTAGACTTCACCTCAAATACAATTCACCCTCCCTTGTATTAGCCATTTAGACTTTTCATTGGTGCTTTGAGAGTAAGTGTATCCTGACTGAAGTGGTGATCCAACAAGCAGTAAATCTGGTGGGAGAGTTTGAGAAGGCAAATGAGATTAGCTTAACACCCCTGAGCTCGAATCACTGGGCTGCTCAGACTTGGGAAGCCCCTCCTCTGGGGGTGTGCAAAATTAATTCAGATGTGGCTTGCTTCAGGGACGCTTCCACGGGTCTGGGGTGTGTGGTTAGAGATCACGTTGGAGATGTTCTTTTATCGACTTGCTGGAGATCGCGGGAAGAGTACGATGTTGATATTGGTGAGGCGTTAGCTGCCAGGCATTCTCTTTCAATATCCCTTGAGGCTGGCTTCCGTAAGGTAATTCTTGAAACGGATAATCTGAAACTGCTCCAGCATGTAAAGCACAGGAAAACTCAGTGTACGAGTTTTGGCTTAATTGTCAAGGACATTCTTTACCTTGCAGATTCTTGTGTCTTTTTTTATGTATCTCAGGTGGGAAGAATGGGGAATGGGGTGGCTCATAGGCTTGCAAAAGCTAGTATAATGTATGATGTTATGAGGGTGTGGATGGAGGAGGTGCCTGAGTGTGCGGCTGATGCGGTATTGCAGGATATTTTAAGCCTGAGTTAATAAATTTGCTTCTGCTTTCTATAAAAAAAACAAAAAAAAAAAAAAAAAAAAATTATACTCTTCAATTCCCATTAAACTCAGTATAATCCGAAGGCATATCAAAACCAATTTTGTAAATTAAATGTTTGAAACAGAACAAAGTAGTCAAAACCAATTTTGTAAATTAAATGTTTGAAAAACAGAGAGTTGAGAAAAACATGGCTAACATAATCAACCTAACAAATCACAACACTTTCCGAACCCTATTTTCCCTAGCATTCATAAGTTTGATTACCATCTTCAACCCAACAATTTCCCAAATCAGTTACCTCGTCATCATCCTCCGAATTCATTCCGCCCACAATCACACCCATCTCACCTGCATTTGCGGTTCCTACTGGAACTCTTTCTCTGCTAATATCGCATTTTACGCGGTCGATTATGTCTTCATTGTTGTCTTTCTTGTTCACCATCTCAAGCTCCGTCGTTTTGTTCTTAAGCTCCGTGCTCACCTCCCTCACTATCTCCCGCCGAATGTCTCCGGCAAATGGTTCCCTTTCCATGGTTTCGTATTTGTTGTCAAGTCAAGCATTGCCGCTTTCTTTATGATTTCTGTGGTGTCTCTCTGTTTGCTGGTGTACTTGTGCGACATTTGAGTTTTTAGGCTGTCCATGAAATTTGATAAAATATGTTTCTGAGTTTCGAAGTCCTCATATGATTTTAATGGTTTTTTTTTTTTTTTTAATTATTTATTTTTTATTATTATTTTAGTTTCATTAAAATGGAAATTGTCATGTTCTTATCATTTTATTGTTTTGTCGATGTAATTTTAATCGGGTCATTTTCATTTTAATCATCATTTGTGATTGTTTTTACGTAATCAAAGTTAATGGTAATCTCTCATTTATTTTTTGCAGATGATAGCCTACTTTTTGTGAAGGCTACGGAGGAGGAAGTTGAGAACATGCTTGGGATCCTTTCTACTTATGAAGTGGCTTCGGGTCAGAAACTGAATATGGATAAATCGAAGGTGTCTTTTAGCCGAAACATTGATCAAGAACGGATGAACATGCTTCAGATGAAGTTATCTTTTAAGCTTGTTGAAGGACATGACAAATATCTTGGCTTATTGACTTATATTGGTAGCTCCAAGAAATAGGTTTTTTAGAATATTCATGATCGAATTTGGAAGAAACTAAAAGGGTGGAAGGAGAAGTTTTTATCTCAAGTGGGGAAGGAAGTCTTGATTAAATCAATTGCACAAGCAATCCCGACCTATGCCATGCAATGCTTTGCAATTCCGGATAGTATTCTAAATGTGGTTAAGAAATTATGTCGACAATTTTTTAGGGGTCAAAAAGGAGAAGAGAGGAAAATTTGTTGGGTTTCTTGGGATAAATTGTACACTTCAAAGAATCAAGGGGGTCTAGGCTTCCGAAATATGAAAAATTTCAATAGAGCTCTTCTAGCATAGCAAGCTTGGCTTATTCTTTCAAATGAGGACTCCCTTATCGCTAAGGTCCTCAAAGGAAAATATTTCCCGCACTCGAATTTTTTGGAGGCAAAAATTAGTCCGAATGCAAGCTACACTTGGAGGTCAATATTAGGAGCTGGGGATGTTCTTTTGAAGGGTGCTGGGAAAAAATATTAGAGATAGGACATCTATTCACATTAGAAGGGACCCTTGGGTTCCAAATCTGTCTGGTTTACAGTTGTGACGAGCCAAAGTGACAATGCTCTTGGGTTTAATTATGTGCGTCAATTATGGAACAATAGGAGTTGGGATGTTAATGCCTTGAATGCTATCTTTTCCCAAGCTGAGGTGAGCAAAATTTAGAATATTCCTATTCCTTTATTTGACTGCAAGGATTCTTGGACTTGGCATTTCACAAAAGATGGAAATTACTCGGTGAGGAGCGCGTATAATATGATAACAGATGAGCAAATGCGAGATGTGGCTTCTACATCTACTGGTGGCTGCCCTTTTGATTGGAAGATTATTTGGCGTGCTGAGCTACTTCTGAAAATTAATATGTTTGCTTAGCGTGCAATTAGAGATGTTGTTGCTCGGAGTAATTTAGCTCGAAGAGGTATGAATGTTGATCAATTATGTTCTATGTGTGGAGAGGTGAATGAGTGTACTTTGCATATGATTGTGAAGTGTGGGGATGCTAACTTAATCTAGTACACGTCACCTTTGCGGTTAGATGGGGAAAGTTTTGTTGGGGAAACTTTCAGAGATTGGTGTTGCTCAGTTCGAAAGACTTACAAGGATGCTGACTGGTGGAATTTATTCTGGAGTATTGCGTGGGGAGTTTGGTTGCGACGCAATAAGTGGACTTTTGAAGGAAAGAGGAAAGAGAGGACTGAAATCATTCATACTGTTGTTAGTATTATTGGGGAATTCGAGCAGGCGAAGGAAATCAGTAACATTAACCCCCCTCCTCCAACTCTTGACTCGTGCTGGAAGCCTCCCTTGGAGGGAATTATCAAGGTAAACACTGATGCTGCTCTTTTTTTCTCCTAGTGGGGTGGGTCTTGGTGGAGTGATGCGAGATGTTGTGGGTGATGTGGTGGCTTCAACTTGTCTCAAAGTTGATGGCAGCTTTCAGGTTGATGTAGCGGAAGCGCTTGCTATGAGACATACTCTAAACATCACAATTGAATCTGGCTTCCGAAACGTTTGTTTAGAAACAGATTGTTTGAAGCTACATAATCACCTTGTGAAAGGGTTAGTTCCTCGTACTGCCTTTGGGACGATAGTGAACGATATTTTACAGCTTGCTCAATCATGCCAGTCTTGTTCTTTTTCTTTCGTGAAGAGAAGTGGTAACCGTGTAGCTCATGGCCTTGCCAAATTATGTAGTTCTTTTGTTAAGCTTAGAGTTTGGATGGAAGATTATCCATGTGATGTAACTGATTTTGTTGTGGCTGATCAGAGCCTCATTGTTTGATTGAATAAAGCTCTTGCTTCCCGTCACAAAAAAAAAAAAAAAAATAAAATAAAATAAAATAAAAAAATAAAAAAAATGAGAGAGAGTTAATGGTAATCTGTTTGGAGGTTTTTTTGGTTAAGTTTTATTACGGAGTACTTGTTTAGTGAAATTGGTGGATGATTAAAGATTTGATAAATTTTGTTGAACAACAATATATGTGATAATTTATGTTTCAAGCTACATTGTACAAACACTTAATTGATTAAAAACCCCCCAAATGCCCACTTTTTCCCAATATTCATCTGAAATCATATACCATCTAATAATGGTGGAATTACATACAAAGATCCAAATTTACAATTAATTGTTTAACAAATTTTAATTACAAAACTAATTTGATTCTCTATCCTCCTCTTCCTCATAAACTTATTATCTCTCATCTTTTTAGATTGAGGTTAGAGTTTAAATAAAAAAAGTTTGTGAGGCTAGAATTATGAATAATCAAGTTTTAATCCAGTTTTTTTTATTCATTTATTTTCCACATTCATTTAATATGTTTTGGGCCATTTTTTTTATATATGTGTTGTTTTCGGATGTGAGAATCATGGAAAGATATTTTTTTTCACTTAAAGGAAGCAAGATCAATTGAACCGAAAAACAGAGAAATGGCTCAAAATAGAGATAGCAAATTTGAAAATATGTTTACTTGAAGCTAAATCTGGGTTTGGGCAAGTTGAGTCTGGGTCGGTGTAAGTCGAGGCGAGTCAAGGAGGATCACATTTTATATGCTACTAACATGTCGGACCAATACGGGTTGTGAGTCGATAATGGGCGGACCAATAAACTATTAATTAAAATGAATATAGGACAACACCATAACTAAGTATATAATATGATATGAAAATATCCATATATTACATTATTTATTTTCTTTATCTATTAAATGGAGCAAACATTTTGACCTTACCCAATAAAGGCTCTATTCCTGCCCATTAAGGGTCCCTTAATCCTGGCCTAGAACCTATTATCTTTGGGCTACCCTACCTAACAAACAGGTCTATTTGGAGCACTTAAGGATGTTGATATTGACTTAGGCACGAGTCATGTTTATGTGCATTCATGAGGTAAATATATTGACTTAGGCACGGGTCATGTTTAAAGTTTAAGGTCTTATAGGAAGCCAATCACTTGATTCCAGACCCCAAGAAGTAGGCCTGGTTATTGGGCGGGTCGGTGCGGGTCAATAATGGGGCGGGTCAGTTGAGGGTCACTTTAAATTATCAGTAGACAGGGTCAGGGCTAGGGCTATGCGGGTCAGGGTCAGGGTCGGGGACTAACTAGAAAAGGGTAATTATTGGGCTCCATGCCTCCATTAGTAAAATATCTTTACTAGAAAATTTTCAACAGAGTAACAAAAAAAACAGCAATTCTTTGATCGATGAACTTGCCCAGTAAAAACATTTACAGAAAAATTATACTCCCTCCGTCCCAAATTACTCGCAACGTTTTGACTTTTTGCACTATTCACACATCTCACTTTGCCTATTTTTTTCCGCTATATGAAAGTCAATGTAATCTATAAGATGTTCTTGGGTCTATTTCAATGTATAGTTTCTTAATATTAACTTTTTTATAGCTTTTGTAAATATACAATAAAAGATATCGACGGTCAAATATGTGCATCGGCAAGAACTGGGACAGAGGGAGTATGTATATATATATATATATATATATATATATATATATATAAAGAACAAAAATTCTTCAATGAACTTGCCAAATAAAAACATTTACACGAGAAAAAAAAAAAGCAATTCTTCAATGAACTTGCCCAATAAAAAAATTTATAGAAAAATAAATTAAATTCAAAATAGATGTTTATTTATAAATTTAATAGTATCAGGTTTACAATTTTGTTTGAACTTTAGTAGAGAACTAGATTCAGAGCAGCAATTCTGAGAGAGAGAGAAAAAAAAAATTCAGAGCAACAAAATTGGTGTGGGATACGTAGAGGAGAGACGGGAATGAAATGACCAAGTAAATTTAATGTTGATCGATTGACCCTATAATAGTTGTTATCCAATC